CCTACTGGCCTGATTGCCCACAACTACCCTCCCCTCTGCTGGCCATCTTGTGGTGGCCATATTTGACCACATGGGTGTGTACATCTTGTTCAAGGATATGAGGGTCAATTTGCATATTACCTCTTTATTATATACCTGAGGTCTGCAAATTTGGGCTCATGAGCCACATGTGGCCCTTTGGCCCCTTGAGTGTGGCTCTTCCACAAAATACCACAGTCTGGGCGAGTCTATTTTGAAGAAGTGGCTTTAGAAGAAGTTTAAGTTTAAAAAATTTGTGTCTCGAATGAAATTTCAATTGTTGTACTGTTGATATTTGGCTCTGTTGACTAATGAGTTTGCCGTCCACCTGTTATATACAATAGACCTGGTGGTGTGTCTTAGCTGGTTGGTGACATCCAGTGCAGCAAAAGGAGGCCAGTTCAATGTTGTGCTTTCATATCAGAGTTTCTCTCTCTGTCTCTCTCTTCCTTTTTCTATCTCACTCTTGAAAAAAAAAAAAACTTGAAAAAATTATTATTATCATTATTATTTTTATTTTTTTTTTAAAGAAAAGACTCTCTGCGAGTATGCCAAAGATTCCTCAACCTTGCACTCAGGGATTCTGACTTAATAAGTCTGAAGTAAGGTTCTGAGATCTGTACTTTGAACGGGTGCTATTCCATATCTGTTTGCAAACCACTCTTCCAAGTAACAACAGAATCCCTCCTGGTGCAGAAATGCCTCCCATACAACCTCTGAAATCTGCCCGTTGTTAACTCACTCACTATCCACTGTCATAATGCACAAATGACCCAACCTACAGATTATAGTTTGTGCTTCCAGGTTCGGAATTTCTCAGGGGCGGGGACCTTGTCTTTTAATTTTTGCTTATTTTGCACCAGTGAGGTGCAGTTGAGAGACCAATGATCTCTGGAATCAGAGAGTCCAAGATTGAAACCCTGATCCTCTATCATCTATCAAGGTGACTCACCTTGGGCAAGTTACTTAACTTTCCTTTCTCAGCTCTCTAAGTTTAAAAATTGGGAGTGTTGTGATCAAATGTATTAAAAGTGAAAAGCCAGCCTTAAGGCGAAGGGGCGGGGCTTTGGAAGTCATGGGCAGACTGGAAGGTCTGGAAGAGCAGGGTACTTGGCCCTGTGTTCCCACACTAGAGGAGAGGAACCTGGGCAGGATAGCAAGGCTCCCAGCTAGGCACTAATTCCCAGGACCATATAAGGATGGGAGGAGAGGGTGGATGGGAGGTGGAGAGAGGAGTGCAGCAGAAATAATGCTGTTTTTCTAAAGCTTTAAGAGAAGCACAGAAGGTACCAAGGTGATATAGAAAGGGGCAGGTTAAACTGGCCCTGAGCCAGGCCTTTTCTACTCTTCTGACCAGAACAGAAGACATCAGGAAACCTGGCCCTCCACAAACCCTTAGGGGTGTAGCAAATGAGGAGTGAAGGCACTGTTGGGATCACCGGGCAGTAAAGTGCCACCTATGTACCAAGGGGACACTAGCAATTGTCCATAGGTAGGTGTGAACCATGCAGAAACGACTCTGAGGTCTTCTGAGGAAAAAGGAATTGAACCTCCAGTCTGCCTTCAAACGACAACTCTCTCCTGGGCCTGCAGCCTGCTGGCCTTGCCCTGCAGATATCCAGCCCTCTAATCACATGAGCCAAATGCTTAGGTCTCTGTCTCTCTCGGTATCTCTGGCCAGCCCTGAAAATGTGTGGATTCCTCAGATACATATACTAATTTCTAGAATAAACACGAAGACATCAATATTTAATTAACCCCAAAGACATAGGTATTCTGATTATTTTGGCTATGTAACAAACCACCCAACATGTAGAGCTGTGCAACAGTAATTGATTTTGCTCAGACATTATATGGGTCAGGAACTAGGACAGGACTCATTGGGATCTGCTTGTTCGTATACCAATGGTCAACAAACTCATTAGTTAGAGCCAAATATCAACAGTACAACGATTGAAATTTCTTTTGAGAGCCAAATTTTTTAAACTTCTTCTAACGCCACTTCTTCAAAATAGACTCGCCCAGGCCATGGTATTTTGTGGAAGAGCCACACTCACGGGGCCCAAAGAGCCGCATGTGCCTTCTGAACCGCATTTTGCCGACCTCGGCCCTATACCATGATGTATGGTATCAGAACTGGAAGATGAAAGTTAGGGATATAAAATCATCTGAAGACTCGGTTTTTCATGACTGGAATTTGACGCTGGCGCACAGCTGGGGCATTATTTCTCCTACACTGCGGTCTAAAAGTGTTCTTTTGGCAGGGGCTGCTTTGGGTTTCTTCACAGCTCGGTCTTTGTTCCAAGGGAAAACCTCCGGAGAGAAAACTAAGTAGAGACTATATCCCTTTTATATCGTAGCCTTAGAGGTCATACTGCATAAATCCCTGTCATTTTATATTGGATGTGCCCATCAAAGGTCAAGTAGAGAGAACATAGCCCGCAGGCAGGGCTGTCAGGGTCCCAGGCCACTCCAGGGTGAGATCCCCCCCTGGTGGGGACGATGGGAGTCTGAGGCTGATGGACCCCCGTGGTTGTCTTGAAGGAGGGCTGGCTGCCCTCTGCTTCCCACCCCCCAATAAGGTAGGAAGCAGCCTGTGAGCAAAAGGTGATCTGGGGCTGTGGGTGTTAGGCCTTTAACCCAACTTCCAGCGATTGGGAAGTACATGCATCTGCGTGAGGAACTGGGCCAGTGTGCTCAGTGGTCAGGTGAACAACAGTGAGGCGTCTTGAGAACAAGGGGGAGTGCCCACGTGACCAGCGGGAAGTGGTCAAATAAATAAGGGCCATGGGAACACCCGGAAGAGGTCAGGTGAACACAGGCTTGGGGACAGCCTGAAGTGCTGAGATGGCCGAGGGGGAGAGCTAGGCCCAGGTGAACAGCCGGAAGCGGTCCAGTGAGCACAGGTGGAGGGACAAGAAGGAAAGGGAGGGAGGGAGAACCTAGTGGCCAGCTGGGCATGGTTACGTCATCAGAGGCCAGGTGGACAGCCGGAAGTTGGTCAGGTAAGCCAGTGCCTGGGAAATGCCCAGGAGTGGTCTTTGAGCACGGGGATAGGGCCATGGGCCAGCCGGAAGTGGTGAGGTGACGGCCTCAGTGTGCAGCGCCCAGATGAACACCCAGAAGTGGTCTGGTGAGCCCGAGGGGTGGGACCGGTGGCCAGCTGGACTTGATTACATCATCCTGGGGGAGGAGCCAGGTGGACAGCCCGAAGTAGTCCCATGAGCCAGGGCTTGTGGCCTGGTCAAGAGCTTGAGATCAGTACACACCTCTGTTTGGCCTGCTTTATTTCTCTGTGTGTGTGGTAATATCCAAGTATTTGCAAAGGTCTCGTGTGTTTGAACTAGGAGAAAGTTTGTCTCTTGTGTAAGAGACTTTACATAATACTTTTTTTTTTAACTACCAAAGTCTGTCTTTTACTATTCCATGCTGAGCCAATCAATCTGAGAAATTATAAAGACACTTACCACATCCAGCCACAATTATAGTGGAAGCCATAACAGAAAAGCTATGGCTACCTGGGTAGATACTGCTGTCAGCTGGGTGAAATAATAGTTGACTGAGTCTTGGGAAAAGACTGTAAGTTCAATCCTGTTGTAAACTTAACTCTACTTATGTGAGTTTGGGTAAAGTAAGCTCTCCACAGCTTAATTAACACAGCAATAAAATGGAAATATTTTAGTGTCTCCCCATGCTGTGATGGTTCATTTTATGTCAGCCTAACTGAACTACCAGGTGCCCCAGTATTTGGTCGAACATTATTCTGGGTATGTCTGTGAGGGTGTTTTGGATGAGATTAACTTCTTGAATCAATAGACAGAGTAGATTGCTTCCCCTAAAGTGTGGGTGACCCCCATCCAATGAGTTGAAAGTGGAATAGGATGAAAAGGCTGACTTTCCTTCAAGTAAGAAGGAATACCTCCTGCCTGGCTGTTGGAGCTAGGACATTGGTTTTTCCCTGCCTTCATGCTCAGATGAAGCATTGGTTCTTGGACTTGGCCCTGCCAGCTTTCAGACTAGAACTTACATAGTGGCTCTCATAGTTTTTAGGCCTTCAGACCACATCATGGACTGACCCACAATCTGGGTTTGTATGACTGTCTCTTTGTAAGTGCCATGTAATTTGTTCTCTAGCCATCACATTTATAACACATTTGATCTAAATGTTCTCTAGCCATCATATTTGATCTAAAGGCTTAAGTTCAGATTTAACATGGTTGTTAGAGGTAGTTCTGGGCACTCTACCTTACATCTCATCATGAAGCACACAACATCAAATTGACCATTGTTAGAGATGCTAACTTTTATGGGAGAATTCAGGTGGTGACAGTGTGATCTCTCCACTGCAAAGTGACATCATTCCTCCCCCTACCCCTGTTTTTTTATAACCAGCCTGTGATCTGTAGGATGGCTCTTTGTGCTTTATTAAAACTACTCTTGGTTTTAAGAGGAGAGGGGTGTGGGGGAAGAGATATCAATTAGAGGCTATTTAGAAATTAACAAAATGAGAACTACCGCATATCAAGAAGCCAGAAAAAATAAACACAAAAAGGGCAGAAGGAATGCATTTATTTTAAATAAGTGGAAATTGACAAATCAGATTTGACTGATAACCAAACCAAAAGCTATTATTAGAAAAGATCATTAAAATAGACAAGTATTTGGTAAGTCAAACTAAGAGGAAAAAGAGATAGCATGTAAATAAACAACAGGGAATATGTGGAAAAAATATAAGAGAAAAATGTGTTCTAGAAAATATGGGTGAAATTCTTCTTTTTCTTTTTTTTCTTTTTAATTTCTTTATTGATTGATTTTTTTTCTTTTAAATTTCTTTATTACATATTTGTCCTCATCTTCTCCACTCCCCCCATTACCTTCCCAATGCCACCCTCCCTATGGGTGAAATTGTGAGAAAATACAATATAATGACCAGGTTGGCTTCACAATAAATTTAAAGACCCAAATTAGTCTATATGAAGTGTTCATCTATTAAAGTTAGATGAATATGCAAAATTAGTTCATCAATGAATGTAATTCACCATATTAACAGATTGAAGGAGGAAATCATTATGCAAATAATAATAGCTAACTCATAAAAATTGCTGTCCACCAGGCACTGTTCTAAGAGCTTGAAATATAGTAACTCGTTTAATTTCAATAAATGCTACAAAGGAACTTGATTCAACTCAGTCCAATTCCTGATTGAAATTGTAATAAGAAATATATTTTAGAAATAAAAAGAAGCATCCCACTCTAAAAAAAAAAAATTAAAGTATCAACTGGAAATCTATAGCAAGCATTACACTGGATAGTGATATTGCACATCAAATGTCAGAAACTCAACTCAAAAGAGTTTAAACAGAAAATGTATTTCTACAAGTAACTTGGACATTCCAGGGAATTTACCTAGATTGGCAATACCTTGATTCAAGGTATATCCCTAACTGGGGTACAAAAGATTATTCCATTTGCATTGAAATAGCAGCATTTCCTGGTGCATATAAACTAATATTCCATTTACAAAAATTCAAAGTGCATAAAAATTTGTCATAAATACATCAGAGGCACCTAGTCCTTTGGTTTCGTCCAGTTTTCTTGCAGTTCATTCAAGGTGACTGTGAATATAGAGATATCAAGAGGGCCCACTCCTTCCCACATCTCTGCCTCATCTTTCTCTTTCTCTCCCTCCTCCATCTCAGCCTTCATCCTTGCTCAGAGCTGGCTTCTGGCTTGCGTGAGGTGCTGTCTGAAGAACTTCTGGATCTCCCCCCAGGCGTGTTCCTGGGCTGCAGCATGCGCTGCAGGCTCCCCTCCCCAGAGCAGGGGCTGAGAAAGGGAGTAATTGCGGGATAGCGCAAGGGGGTGATTATTGGAAGCGTAAGCGGAAACAGAATAGATACGGGAAGCATAGCACAGGGGTGCGTAGGGCGGCTCTAGAAGGTGGCCTGCGCCCGGGTAGACCAGCATCCTTCCATTGCTCCTCCCGTGGCTCTTCAGCTGCTCCAGGGCCTGCTCAGCATAGGCTTTGCTTTTGATTGATTGGTCATCCTCTCCTATGACGAAGAGGATCTGACCCCGGGCCTTTTCGATAGGAAACACGCTCGGCTGATTCAGCTTCTCCCGCGGGTCCCCCCTGAAGTGGAGGAGGCGCACGGCCCCGGAGACGTGCACCTGCATGCGCTCCAGGAACGCGGGGATGGGGGACATGACCAGACCCCGGTACCTGAACGGGAAGTCGCAGACGGCGTTAGGCCCGTTGATGAGGACAGCGGCTGCCACCTGCTTGAGGAAGCAGGCCATGGCCAGCCCGATCTCCGCGCCTTTGCTCACAGACAGCACGCCGATGCCTGGCCCTCGGACCTGAAACACACAAGGAAGGGAACCTATGGCAGGCCACCCGCTGAGGAGCCGTGCCACCGGCCACGAGCTGTTATGACGGGCATTAGAACATGTGAGGTGGGAGTCCTGGCAATCGGGGTCACAAGCTTTTGTGACTGAGAACAGTACCCACCTCCCCTCCCTAAGCCTATTATTGTGTTGGGGTAAGAGGGGTGATAGGATTGTCTACTTTGCCAGATTGTTATGGAAGCTCAGGGGAAACAATAGAAATAAAAACTCTTTATCAGCCCTGGCTGGTTGGGCTCAGTGGATAGACATTGACATGTGGACTGAGGAATCCCCAGTTCCATTTCCGTCAAGGGCATGTACCTTGTTTGCGGGCACATCCCCAGGAGGCAGCTGATCGATATTCCTCTCTCATCAATGTTTCTTTTAAAAAAATATAAATATATTTTATTGATATTTTATAGAGAGGAAGAGAGAGGAATAGAGAGTTAGAAACATCGATGAGAGAGAAACATCGAACAACTGCCTCATGCACACCCCCTATTGGGGATATGCCTGCAACCAAGGTACATGGCCTTGACCGAAATCGAACCCAGCACCTTTCAGTCCGCAGGCCGACGCTCTATCCACTGAGCCAAACCGGTTTTGGGTCATCAATGTTTCTAACTATCCCTCTCCCTTCCTCTCTGTTAAAAAAAAAAAAAAAATCAATAAAATATATGTTTTTTTTAAAAAACTCTTTATCAAAGGCAGAGTTCTATAAAAACCTGAAGGATCGAATGCACCAGCCGCAATCTACATCCTAAAAGCAGAGGCAGGTAAGAATCAAATTCTTCTCTCCCGCTAGGAAAAGAGGTTTCCTAGGTTCTTTCAAATCTTATGTCAGAGTGGTTCCTATTTAAATAGCGTGCTACAGCTACAGAGATTTTCCAAAGGCTAATCCTAAGGAGGAAAGACTTGGATTCTACTGACAGGTGAATTTTAGGACCCCGTCCAACAGGAAAAGCAGTAAGTAGGGCAGAGGAGTGGGTCCTTCCTTCTATGACAGGCTGAGAGGGGAGCAAAGAGTCTGAGAGACAAGGGAGGAAAGGACCAGCATGCTGGAGAGACAACGGCACACATAGCCACCTGGTAAGTTATTTTGCTCACAGTTGTAACCCCAACACCTTTCTGTCCTCTCAATCACCTGATAAAACATTGAAGAGCCCAATGTAAATCAAAAGCAAGTGCTTTACATATGGTCTGCGGACTAAAAGGTCCCAGGTTTGATTACGGTCAAAGGCATGTACATTGGTTGGGGGCACATCCCCAGTAGAGGGTGTGCAAGAGGCAGCTGGTCGATGTTTCTCTTTCATCGACATTTCTAGCTCTCTCCCTTTCTCTCTGTAAAAAATCAATAAAAAATATATTTAAAAAAAAATAAAATAAAAAAAAGCAAGTGCTTTAAATGCAAGAAGTCTTGGCTTTTTGCCCACTGAAAATAATCACAATATATCCACCCTTTTTTTTTTTCTTGTCTTCTTCATGCCAGCAAGTACTACGCTGATCGCTGATCAATCCCACCGTCCCCTACGGTAGATAGCAGCATCAATCCTACAAGGTAGACAACAGCATTTCCATTTTAACTGTAAACATTTGTACTATGCCCAGGTTTAAACAGGCTGTTGTAAACTGATCAGAACAAACATCTGTGATTTGTTTCTTTGTTTGTTTTTGTCTTTTGTCTTTTGCTATAAGGTTGCAAGGCAAAATGAAAATTATCTTTAAATACCTTTGGATGAGCTAGTAGCAAGTTGGCAGCCTCCTCAAAATACTCCAGGTCCACCTCCTCCAGCCGCGTGGGCAGGTCTTCGTAGGCAAAGTAAGCTACTGCCAGGACTGCAAAGCCACGGGCAGCCAGCAGGCTGGCTCGGAATTCTATGAGACCCCCCACACCCCCAAATAAGTCCATGATTCCTGGGAAAGGGCCTTCCCCTGAGAACAACAAAGAGAGGAGAGAATGGGATTAGGAAGAGAGAGAAGAGGGTCAAGCAGAGAGCACAGGCAGAGAGGAAAATGAATTCCACCTTCCCACCCAAACACACAAGGCCAAGCTCGTTTTAATAACAGATCGAGGGAAATACCGGTTCGTTTTAATAGATCGCGGGAAATATTTTGATGATGCTTTTTAATTTTTTTATTTTGTTGAGTTTTTTTAAAGAGAGGAAGTTAGAAACATTGATGAGAGAAAGTCATCGATCAGCTGCCTTTTGCACGCCAACACTGAGGATGTGCCAGCAACCAAGGTACATGCCCTTGACGGGAATCAAACTTGGGACCCTTCCGTCCGCAGGCCTATGCTCTATCCACTGAGCCAAACCGGTTTCGGCAATGCTCTTTGATTTTGTTTTTATTTCCATCAACTCTGTTTTCTCTACCGCCATCGATCCGTCTCACCTGGAGGGAGGAAGAGGGTGCCCCGCACACGGCCCTCTCGGATGGGCACCCGCTGCGTCCCTGGGCGGCAGAACCAGCGCTGCACCACCTGGCTGGCCCGGGGCGGAGCCGGGGCTGGATCTTGGGAGCAAAGGAAGTCGTACAGGTCCAGCGTGACCAAGAAGGGGCTGTTCACATCCCTCTTCAGCAGCCTCCCAAAGGGCCTCTCAGGCTTCAGAGACCAGAAGAGGCCCATGGGGTGGACCCCCACGTAGTCACCTCCCATGGAAGGAGCCCGCTGCAGGTCCAGCTCGCCGGCCTCGTCAGCCTGGTAGAAGGCCTTGGACTGGTAGAGGTTTCCCTTCTCATCCTTCAGGGATGCTTTGAGGGTCAGCGGCTGCAGCGGAGGCAGGCCTGTCGCTCGGATGTGCACAGGCTCATCAGAAAGGGCGCTGGCGGGGGTGGCTGTCAGCTGGAACATTGGCGGCCCTCCCTGCAGAGGCAGAGGAGGCTTTGAGCTGGAGAAAAGTCCAAGGAAAAGTCCAAGATCCAGACCAGGCTTATGTGAGGTCCAGCCTAGTTAGCTTTCTGGAGACAGTGCAAGGTCTGCAGAACATTTGGAGGAGGGAGTGCCCGTTACCCTCATTTTAAAGAGCAGGAAACAGGTTAAGTGACACGTTCAAAGCCTCATAAATAATTAATAGTAGAACTGGAAATTCAAGTGGGTCCGACACCCACAGCCTCCTCTTATCCATTATATAACAGCGTGTTAAATCTTAGTGCTGTGGTGTTAAGTAAGAGGAGCTTTAATCCCTCAATTGAGATTATTAGCCATGGGACCAACGTCAGAGGGTGTTTGTTAGAGCCCAAAAATGCCAGAGGAAGAGCTTAGAGGAAGGATCAGTGCTGCAGTTTCAGCCCCGGGACTTCCTGGTCCACAGGCCCATAAACACAGAATATGCGGTGGTGTGTTTACTTTGCCTCTCTAACCTCTCCCTGCCCTTGTAAATCTGACCTCCTGCTCTCTCACAGTTCCTATTATTGGGTCTTTCTAAGGGAAAATAAAACTTTATGATCTTGTCTCAATGTTGTTTTTAGTAAAGAGACTATAGTATATATTTGATCAGCCATTTCTTACTCTGCTCAATTATGAGGAATACCTTCCTATCTTCCTTTTCTTCCTTCCTTTCTCTCTCTCCATCCTTCCTTCCTTTTTTCCTTCTTTCCTTCCTTCCTTCCTTCCTTCCTTCCTTCCTTCCTTCCTTCCTTCCTTTCTTTCTCTCCTTCCTTCCTTTATTCAAATCCTCATTTCTCAAAGAATTTGAACCTGTTTACAGATAAACGAATACACAGAGTAAAATAAAAATACAATAGGGACCTGGGAAAATAGGAACTAGAATCAGAGGCATTGATAAAAGAAAACCTGGAGCACAAAGAGTAGCGCATTTTGTGGGCTGTGAGTTTGGCCCTGAATTCGTGAAAGTCAAAGGAAGAAAGGAACCTGGTCGGTTTTGTTGTTCTAATTGTTCTCATAGAAACAGTTACCACTTCCTCAGGGGCAAGAAAACAGTGAGGTCTTTCCAAAATTGAGCTCTGGAAAAAAAAAAAAAATTCTCCTATGAGACAGACTCTGACATAGGTATGGAGTGTGGGGAGTTTTTCAATAGTATCTTCACACACATTGTAGCAGTAGGTGTCCCCTCAGAAAGTTGGATTCTCCAAGGGACCCTTAATTTTTTATGGGGGAATGTGAATTCAAGACGTTCAGGGCTAGATTTGTGAGGAGGAAAACTTTGAGAAAATAAACTGGCAGGGACAGCAAAGGGGCTCTTGATGTCCAGTCCTTCACTGTGGAGAGTCATTGAAGGAAGGCGATGGTCAAAGGAAAATGATTTTCTGCAAAGACCTCATTTCTTCCCAACCTGAACTATCAACATCCAGCATTACTGGCCATATTGCGTAAGCCTAAACTCTTTTTGAGTTAATGGAATAATTGTGAATGTTTTTCTACAACACCTGGAAAGTTCTTAACAGAAGCAGGTGGCATCAGTGCAGACTTTCTGGGTCTTTCATTCATGTTAGTGAGATGGGACAATCTTTTTAAAAATCCCTTGTCCCGTGCAACATTTTGACACTCTGTTGGGTATTTTCTGATCTGATCCTTCCTGTAAGCCTCTATATCAGCTGTTTCCTTTGTCCTCCGCTTTGATGCACTACTACTGAAGTTGGGAGACTCCTCCAAATCCAAAAGAGATGGTAAAGAAGGGATCAGTGATTTCCCCTATTTTACAAATCCTTTCCCAGGTCTTCTTGGTGCTTTCTTTCTCAAAACTTCTACACAAAATATTGACTCTAACAGATTTTACTTTTTAGTTGAATTAATTTGAATTGTTTCCGTACCCACTCTCCAGCAGCCATCCTGCCTCTGTTTCGATCCCCTCAAGTGAACTACAATCTCCTCAAGGGCAGGATCAATATGCTAAAACTTGAAGGATCCTATTGATACTCAGGTATCATACCATGTATTCAATACATGCTTAGGAGCTATGAGAATCATAACGTGCAAGAAAATACTAACACGAGAAATGTAATAAAAGTACTCTACTTAAATAGTGCTTTTGTAATAATATAAGATGTTGAGATTTCTTCCCAAGACCTGATTCCTTTTTATCTGAGAATTGCTCCCCCAAAAGCCCAGAAAATAACTCTAAGTACCTATGTTTATACCTCAGGTGACCTCAACCGTAGGGTCACTGTGATTGGATCAGGTCCAGATACGTGATTCTACTGTAGATGTGCCAGGGGAGTTCTCCTCCCAGCAATTTAGAATTGAAACTCAGAGATCACTGGTCACTCTCTCGGGGTCAGGACAAAAGGTGAGGCAAAAGGGCACCTAGGCAGCAACATGTATTGGCGTCGCCAAGCCCTTCAAGTTCTGAAAGTTTGGTTCCCAGCAGCCTCTCCTGCCTCGTTTGGTGCTGGTCCTGGACTCTGTATGTGGCTAACTTCCCCACATTCAGAAGCTGTACCCAGGTAGTCACAGAGAGCCTGTCTTGGGGTGGAATGTGGGAGAGAGGGACAGAGACAGAAAGCAGATGGTTTTTATCTTGAGAAACCCCTGCTCCAGAACAGCACAGCCCACCCCCAGCCCTTCAGGGCAGAGCTGCAGGCTCTGTGACCATTTTGCTGGAGGCTAGAGTAGCTTCTCACCACAGGGGATGGCCCGACTGTGTGGAAGTCATCAGGGTCCTTTGGATTCAGAGCTGCCCTTTGGGGGTATTAGGCAAAGACCCTGAGAGTCTGCACCTTTTAGCTACGCCTATAAATAAGAGGTTGTCTGAATCTAAACAGGGCTCATTATTTCTTTATCAGCTGCATCTCTCTGTTTTAGCCACATGCAGCTAGTCAACTTTTAATTCATTAAAAATAAAATTTAGCCCTGGCTGGTTTGGCTCAGTGGATAGAGCGTCGGACTGCGGACTGTAGGGTCCAGGGTTCAATTCCGGTCAAGGGCATATGCCCTGGTTGCGGGCACATCCCCAGTGCAGGGTGTGCAGGAGGCAACTGGTCGATGTTTCTCTCTCATTGATATTTCTGGCTCTCTATCCCTCTCCCTTCCTCTATGAAAAATCAATAAAATATATTTTAAAAAATAAAATAAAATAAAATTTAAAATGTAATGCCTCACTCACACCGCATTTTAACTGCCCAGTAGGCACAGTTAACTAGTGGCAACTGCTTTGGACAATGTAGATGTAGACCATTTTCATCATACTAGAATATTCTATTATAGCACTACTCTAGATTATAAATTATTCCTCAAGGGCAGGAATTATACCTTGTTCAACACTCTATTCCTTGATTACTAAAATAGTGCCTGGCACATATTAATTGCTCAGTAAATGTTTGAGGAAATATAATTTTTAAATGATAGATAAGAGAGTAAAAAAATTAAATAAAATAGAGTGAAATTTCTCAAAGAGGATGAAGTAGAATAGAAACCCAGGTGAATTTTGATGCAATACTACTGAAGTTGGGAGACTCCTCAAGGTCCAATATAAAATTACCAGGCTTCCCCACTTAGTATATATATTTTTAATTGATTTTTTACAGAGAGGGTTAGAGAGTTAGAAACATGGATAAGAGAGAAACATCCATCAGCTGCCTCCTGCACACCCCCTACTGGAAATGTGCCTACAACTAAGGTACATGCCCTTGATGAGAATTGAAGATGGGACCTTACAGTCCACAGGCTGACGCTCTATCCACTGAGCCAAACAAGTTTCAGCAGTTCTCCACTTCTTTGCAGCAGAAAGCAGAACCCTGCACACTGCAAAGTGTGAATGAAACCAAGGATACAAAGCAACCAGAGGCCAAGAACCCACAACTGAGCAGCTGCCCACCAGCTTATCCTTGTTAGAGAGGGAGCCCTCAGCAATAGGGATACAGCCTGAGAGGGGCTGAGAGCTCAATGCCACGTTGGTGAGCTGCTTCCGGACCCCCACATTCACAGGGGAAAATGGATCAAGTCTATGCCCGCCAGGAGAACTCGATTTTTCAGAGGAAGGGCAGTTAAAAATTGGCCAAACACCAACACACCAGGGGGCAGGACACAAAAAAAAAAAAAAAAAATAAGAGAGAGCCAAAGGTCACCCATAGAAATGAACATTCCTAATGAAGAAACAACCACTTAATTCCGTTTAGGAGCCTAATGCCTTTCTTTCTTCATCAGGAGCCCGCACTCCCCCTCTTTCCCAGCAAAAAAAAAAAAAAAAAAAAAAAATTCCTAAAAACAATGTCTTGAGCCAAGAAACAATCTCTCCATGAATTCACATGAGCGGAACCCTGATTTTTGCAGCCAGTTATTTCTGATCAATAAACCCTCACGGATATGAATCGATGGGCACTCTGAGAACTGCCCTGTCTGCTGAGATGAGAGAAGCACACACAGCACAAGAAAGGCAGCCTTCCCAGGGGCCCGGCCACTGAAACCAGAAAGCAGACCGTTTCTGCCCCGCTCTCCCAAACACTCACCCTGGATTCCCCGACAGGAAGCAGTAAGGTGGGGAATGCTCCCACTGGACTGCTAGCACTGGACTGCAAGTACTGGACGCTTGCCGGTGGCCTGCTAATTTGTATCCTTCGAAACACGCCCGCCTTCTGTTCAAGGGTCAACTTGTCTCCCCAGAAACAGTAAACAGCACTTTCACTTTAAGGCCCCAGCAGGCAGTGGGTCAGCAGCCCTGCCTTTCCCTGCAGAGGTTTCATAATGGAGTCTCATGTTTCATCACACAGCTCTGGTTTTCAGTCCCTGACTCCAACTCTCAACTCCCAGCCCCAGTCTCCTTTGCTTCAGTTCCTTCTGGATCTTCTCCTCCAAGACTGTGTTCTCTTAGGCAGCTGCCTTTTTCGTGGCTTTTAAAAAGATGAATCCCGCTGAAACCGGTTTGGCTCAATGGATAGAGCGTCGGCTTGGAGACTGAAGGGTCCTGGGTTCGATTCCGGTCAAGGGCATGTACTTTGGTTGCGGGCATATAACCGGTAGGGGGTGTGCAAGAGGCAGCTGATCCATGACTCTCTCTCATCGATGTTTCTAACTCTCTATCTCTCTCCCTTCCTCTCTGTAAAAAATCAATAAAATGTATTTTAAAAAGATGAATCCCAAATATACATCTTCAGTGCACTGTGGTTTTTAGTCTCCCTGGAAATATTGCAGGGAGGAGAGTTAGGGGGGAAGGGAGAGCACTTTGTAAAGTATGTGATTAAAGTATATGATAACCACTATATGGTACACCTGAAACTACTACAAAACATTAACTGCAAAGTGTAATTAAAAAATAAATTTAATTTGGAGAGGGTACAGGCTGGGCTGAAGGACACTCCCCCTCCAGTGCACTAGGGTGCACAAAATTAGTGCATGAGGGGAGGGGGGGCAATGCCTCAGCCCAGGCTGTACCCTCTCCAATCTGGGACTACTGGCTCCCAACCGCTTGCCTGCCTGCCAGTTTTATCACCCCCTAACCACACCCCTGCCAGCCTGATCTACACCTAACTGCTCCCCTGTCAGCCTGATCACCCCCAATTGCCCTCCCTTGCTGGCCTGATTGCCCACAACTAACCTCCCCCTGCTGGCCATATGGTGGTGGCCATACTTGACCACATGGGGGTGTACATCTTGTTCAATGATATGAGGGTCAATTTGCATATTACCTCTTTATTATATACCTGAGGTCTGCAAATTTTGGCTCATGAGCCACATGTGGCTCTTTGGCCCCTTGAGTGTGGCTCTTCCACAAAATACCACAGCCTGGGCAAGTCTATTTTGAAGAAGTGGCTTTAGAAGAAGTTTAAGTTTAAAAAATTTATCTCTCAAAAGATATTTCAATTGTTGTACTGTTGATATTTGGCTCTGTTGACTAATGAGTTTGCTGTCCACTTGTTATATACAATAGACCTGGTGGTGTGTCTTAGCTGGTTGGTGACATCCAGTGCAGCAAAACGTGGCCAGTTCAATGTTGTGCTTTCGTATCAAAGTTTCTTTCTCTGTCTCTCCCTTCCTTTTTCTATCTCACTCTTGAAAAAAAAAAAACTTTAAAAAATTATTATTATTATTATTATTATTATTATTATTATTCTTAAAGAAAAGACTCTCTGCGAGTATGCCAAAGATTCCTGAACCTTGCACCCAGGGATTCTGACTTAATAAGTCTGAAGTAAGGTTCTGAGATCTGTACTTTGAACGGGTGCTATTCCATATCTGTTTGCAAACCACTCTTCCAAGTAACAACAGAAGCCCTCCTGGTGCAGAAATGCCTCCCATAGAACCTCTGAATTCTGCCCGTAGTTAACTCACTCACTATCCACTCTCATAATGCACAAATGACCCAACCTACAGATTATAATCTGTGCTTCCAGGTTCAGAATTTCTGAGGGGCGGGGACCTTGTCTTTTAATTTTTGCTTACCATATTTTGCAGCCAATGAGGTGCAGTTGAGAGACCAATGATCTCTGGAATCAGAGAGTCCAAGATTGAAATCCCTGAACCTCTATCATCTATCAAGGTGACTCACCTTGGGCAAGTTACTTAACTTTCCTTTCTCAGCTCTCTAAGTTTATAAATTGGGAGTGATGTGATCAAATGTATTAAAAGTAAATAGCGAGCCTTGAGGCGAAGAGGCGGGGCTTTGGAAGTCATGGGCAGATTGGAAGGTCTGGAAGAGCAGGGTACTTGGCCCTGTGTTCCCACACTAGAGGAGAGGAACCTGGGCAGGATAGCAAGGCTCCCAGCTAGGCACTAATTCCCAGGACCATATAAGGATGGGAGGAGAGGGTGGATGGGAGGTGGAGAGAGGAGTACAGCAGAAATAATGCTGTTTTTCTAAAGCTTTATGAGAAGCACAGAAGGTACCAAGGTGATATAGAAAGGGGCAGGTTAAACTGGCACTGAGCCAGGCCTTTTCTACTCTTCTGACCAGAACAGAAGACATCAGGAAACCTGGCCCTCCACAAACCCTTAGGGGTGTAGCAAATGAGGAGTGAAGGCACTGTTGGGATCACCGGGCAGGAAAGTGCCAACTATGTACCAAGGGGACACTAGCAATTGTCCATAGGTAGGTGTGAACCATGCAGAAACGACTCTTAGGTCTTCTGAGGAAAAAGGAATTGAACCTCCAGTCTGCCTTCAAACGACAACTCTCTCCTGGGCCTGCAGCCTGCTGGCCTTGCCCTGCAGATGTCCAGCCCTCCAATCACATGAGCCAAATGCTTAGGTCTCTGTCTCTCTCTCTATCTCTGGCCAGCCCTGAAAATGTGTGGATTCCTCAGATACATATACTAATTTCTAGAATAAACACGAAGACATCAATATTTAATTAACCCCAAAGACATAGGTATTCTGATTATTTTGGCTATGTAACAAACCACCCCACATGTAGAGCTGTGCAACAGTAATTGATTTTGCTCATACATTATGTGGGTCAGGAACTAGGACAGGACTCATTGGGATCTGCTTGTCCGTATACCAATGGTCGGCAAACTCATTAGTCAACAGAGCCAAATATCAACAGTACAACGATTGAAATTTCTTTTGAGAGCCAAATTTTTTAAACTTCTTCTAACGCCACTTCTTCAAAATAGACTTGCCCAGGCTGTGGTATTTTGTGGAAGAGCCACACTCAAGGGGCCCAAAGAGCCGCATGTGCCTTCTGAGCCGCAGTTTGCCGACCTCGGCCCTATACTATGATTTATGATATCAGAACTGGAAGATGAAAGTTAGGGATATAAAATCAGCTGAAGACTCGGTTTTTCATGACTGGAATTTGACGCTGGCGCACAGCTGGGGCATTATTTCTCCTACATTAGGGTCTAAAAGTGTTCTTTGGGCAGGAGCTGCTTTGGGTTTCCTCACAGCTTGGTCTGTGTTCCAAGGGAAAACCTCCGGAGATAAAACCAAGTAGAGACTATATCCCTTTTATATCGTAGCCTTAGAGGTCATACTGCATAAATCCCTGTCATTTTATATTGGATGTGCCCATCAAGGTCAAGTAGAGAGAACATAGCCCGCAGGCAGGGCTGTCAGGGTCCCAGGCCACTCCAGGGTGAGATGCCCCCCTGGTGGGGACGATGGGAGTCCCGAGGCTGATGGACCCCAGTGGTTGTCTTGAAGGAGGGCTAGCTGCCCTCTGCTTCCCACCCCCCCATAGGGTAGGAAACAGCCTGTGAGCAAAAGGTGATCTGGGCCTGTGGATGTTAGGCCTTTAACCCAACTTCCAGCGATTGGGAAGTCCATGCATCTGCGTGAGGAACTGGGCCAGTGTGCTCAGTGATCAGGTGAACAACAGTGAGAGTCTTTAGAACAAGGGGGAGGCCCCAGATGACCAGCAGGAAGTGGTCAAGTGAGTAAGGGCCATGGGAACACCTGGAAGAGGTCAGGTGAACACAGGCTTGGGAACAGCCTGAAGTGGTGACATGGCCGAGGGGGAGAGCTAGGCCCAGGTGAACAGCCGGAAGCGGTCCAGTGAGAACAGGTGGAAGGACAAGAAGGAAAGGGAGGGAGGGAGGACCTAGTGGCCAGCTGGGCATGGTTACGTCATCAGGGGCCAGGTGGGCAGCCGGAAGTTGGTCAGGTATGCCAGTGCCTGGGAAACGCCCAGGAGTGGTCTTTGAGCCAGGGGATGGGGTCAGGGGCCAGCCGGAAGTGGTGATGTGACGGCCTCAGTGTACGGGGCCCAGATGAACACCCAGAAGTGGTCTGGTGAGGCCGAGGGGATGGGGCTGGTAGCCAGCTGGACTTGATTACATCATCCTGGGGGAGGAGCCTGGTGGACAGCCTAATTGGTGACTGACCGCTGGAATGGGCTGAGCCCCCAGGGCCCAGGTGAGCACCCAGGAGTGGTCCTGTGAGCCAGGGCTTGGAGCCCGGTCAACAGCTTGAGATGGCACGTGGATAGACTGGTGGTGCCACCTGCATGTGGAGGAGGGTCACAAGGGCACGCAAAAGGCCCACTTTCCTGTGGTCTGGACCCTGGACGTCACCAAGAAGGTTCCTGTCCTCAAGGAAGGGTGTCCCCGTGAGTGAGACAGAAAGCTGGCCCTAAGGGCATGGACATCTGTAAGTGACTCTGGAGGGGCGAGGATGTGACTCCCAGAGAGAAAGGGTGTTCAGGGGCTTAACACCACTCTGGCCGGGATTTCAAACCCCCACAAAGGGCCGTCTGGGCCGCAGGCCACTCCAGGGTGAGATGCTCCCGTGATGGAGATGATGGGGAGTCCCGAGGCTGATGGACCCCATGGCTGTCTTGAAGGAGGGCTGGTGGCCGCCTGCTTGCCTCCCTCCCCACGGGCTCAGAGGCAGGTTGTGAGCAGGTGATCTGGGGCTGTGGGTAGTTAGGCCTCTAACCCAGCTTCCAGCGATTGGAAAGTGCACCCCTCCATGGGAGAAGTTCAGCCAGTCAGTGTGTTGAGCCAGTCAGGTGAACAAGGGGCAGTGTCTCCAAAACAAGGGGAGGGCCCAGGTGACCAGCTGGACGTGGTCAGGTGAACAAGGGCCTGGGTAACACCTGGAAATGGGGAGGTGAACAAGGGGTTGGGGCCCAGTTGCCAGCTGGAAGTGGTCTTGTCATCAGGGGAAGGGGCTGGGTGGATAGCAGGAAGTGGTGATGTGAAGGAGAGGGGTTGGTGGGCTGGCCAGGTGGTCAGCTGGAAGTAGACAGGTAAAGAAGGGGATGGGCCCAGAACCAGCTGAAATTGGTTGTTATCAGGGGAGGGGCCTGCTGGACAGTGGGAAGTGGGGAAGTGTCAGAGCCTGTAGGCTGGGCCCAGGAAAACAGCCCGAAGTGGTCAGATGAACAAGTGCTTGGTGCCAATTCAGTGGCTGAAGTGGTCAAGTTCATAGGATGGTGGGGCCACGTGAAGATGGCGGAGGAAGTAAACTCCCACAGACCCCCTCCTCATATTGGGAGAAATAGTAGTCACAATGTTTTCAAAAAGCATGTGGACCCTAGCTAGTTTGACTCCGTGGATAGAGAATTTGTCTGTGGCCTGAAGGGTCCCGGGTGTGATTCCAGTCAAGGGCATGTACATTGGTTTCAGGCTCCCTGTCCTGGTCGGGTGTGTATGGAAGCTACCAACTGATGTGCCTCTCTCACATTAGTGCTTCTCTCAGTCTCTCCCTCTGCCTTCCACTCTCTATAAAAATCAATGGAAAAAATATCCTCGGGTGCATTGAAAAATTAAAAAATATTAAAAATAACTTTTTTAGATGAAATACATGTGTGCACGTCTATTAGTGCAGCTGTCTTTGGGAAATATAATCTGCCACAATAGGAAAAGAGAAATAAAAGATTAAATAATAAAGGTCTAAGTATATGTGTCTAGGAAAAAAACAATATATGTTATGGTATTGTCCATGGCTTCAGGCATCCTCTGGGGGTCTTGGAATGTATTTCACTTAGATATGTTATTCTCTAGCCATATCTAAAGTCTGAACAAAAAATAATTCCTGATTAACCACATCCTCCTTTAATCATTTTGTCATTCAGAACCATTTGAGAAATTTCCACAAATTAAGTACCCCAAAGGGTACGAATACTCACTACCCTCCTGGATATTCATAGGTACTCAAGGGCATTTTTAAAAGTTATAGGAAAAAAAAAAAAAGGTTTGAAATAAACACTATCTCTTTTAAAGAGAACACCCATTTATAGAATCTGGTATATTACAGAAAAAGTCCCAACACTTAATAATTGGCACATATTCTTCTTTTTTTTTTTTTTTTCATTTATAATACACTAAGGAAATGGCAAGGCAGAAAAACAAATTTCACCTTTAAAAAAATTAAAAACACAACCAATTCAAGAAATTTACTTTAATTTCAACAGAGATTACTTCGGAATGAACAGAATCATTTGATACTATTTCTAGTTGTAACATCTTTCTATAATATCCCCCACAAACTTTTATATTCCTATTATACCTATCTAATTTGTTTGCTCAACTGTATATACACTGCCTATCATACTACCTTAAAGAGTACTGACAGACTTAAAACATTTTCTTGCCTATGAAGAATGCAACCACTTCTAAACACAACATGCCATGGCCTTATATTTTAAACCCAAGTTAGTGTCTGAAGAAGGAATTTTTCACAAATTATTAATGACCTGTTTCTATTTTGTAAAGTTTCAGCAAATGTGAAAAAAATGAAATCTTGTTATTTGTCAATTCATATTGTTATGAGGGGGGGGGAGGAATAATGCATTCTTCCACAGAATAAGTGGTTTTAGAGAACAGTTCTGATAGTATTTCAAAGTATCAAAAGGTCTGATAGTAGCCTCCTTGTTGGGGGGGGAGGTTCGATGATTACAATAATTTCAATTCCTCTTCTGAATTGCTCAGTAGCCCCAAGTGATTTTTATATTGGGAGGCAGATTGCTGGCCACGAGTTCATCAAATTTAGATCTGTCTTGAACGGGCACCTTGTAGAACTCAAGAACGTCTCTGACCCTGCACATCTCATGGAGCCTGGAGTTGGGCACCGCATGGCCCAGGTCATCGGCTAACCGTGTCAACAAGCTGAACTTCAGACGACCATCGTCCAGGGAGATGTCCTGCCAGCTGCTAGCAGCAGATGAGCCAAAAATGTCTTTGACGCTGGATTCCAAACGGCTCTGGAGATCTTCGGGTGGCGCGTACGTCCGGCTGCGTAAGGGCGGACACGCCAGGAGAGGTTCTTTCTTCACCTCCTCCACGGTCTCGGCCACCACGGGCTTTTTCTGTTCTCTGCAATGATCAAACACGAACACGTGAATCTTTGGCTCACGGCCTTCGTGAAGCTGACAGCCACCACAAGTGGATGGGCCCCCGCCGCCGCTCGCTCGCGGACACCGGCGCTGAAGTCCAGCGCGGAAGCCTAACGCGCTAGGTCAAGCGCAGGACCAGGGATTCGTCCCTTCATCTTCCTCCGTTTCTTCCCTTACTTCCCATGACTGTGACCCACCACCTACCCTTTCGCTTTACCTGAATCGAGACCAAAATTCTTGGCGTGGGACCCCTGCGATCATCCACGTGAGGCCTTTTCTCGAAACGCCGGGCACTAAGGCCGCCGCCATCTCGGTGGAGCGCTACCCGACGAAGCTCCGCCCCCGGCCGACAGAGACACTCCAAGACTAGCCAATCGGGTGTAAGCTTAGTGGCAGACGGCCTCCGTTCCTAGTAAGCATCTCCCGCGGTATGCCGGGAAGTGTAGTCCTAAGCAGGCTGGACCGCGGCACGCTCTCGGAGCATGACGGGAGTTGTAGTTCGGCGGAGTCCCGGGAAGGTTCCGGGTGACGCCTTCTGGTCTGGGGGCGGGCGGTCAAAGCGCTCCTGGGCTGAGAGGAGGAGAAACTGACAACGGGGAGGAGGCTCTAGCGGGGCCTGGAAGGCTGTGCGACCAGCAGGGGAGGGGATCTCGGGGTCTGGGGGCGGCCAAGAAGCGCTTCTGTAATGCTGCTGGGGTCGTGACCGCTCGGGGAACCTAGACGGGACCTGGCCAGATCCAGCCTGGAGGCCTCTCCCTGGTCGGGCCTAAGCTCCCAACGGTCCGATAGGCCTCACCAGAGCCTCCTTTCCGTGCGCGCTCCAGGTTCCTGCCCGAATTTCTGGCCAGGAGATGGCCTCCCCGAGCCCCCCACTGGACCCAAAGGTAAGTCGCCCCTCCGGGTCTCCCAGTCCTCTCAGCACTACTCCAGCTAGGCCGCGCTCCACAGCCCCCTTCTCCTCCCCCCCCCCCCCCCCCCCAATAGCGGTCTTGGGGCCCCGTACAGTGTGAGGAAGTAGCCTTCCCTGCTGCTCAGGGTGCGGTTCGCGATTAAGCTGCCCCCCGGGCTCCTTTTGATCAGGAGCGACCTGATAAGTTAGTAAATGCTCCCTTCTAGGGCTCTCATTTGTCAGTGTGCCAGGGGAGGCATCCTTTTGGACCCTCCTCTGTGCCTTCTGCGCCTGTCACTACGCGTGGATCCACACTAGGCGTTTAGAGAACTTCATGGAATTGAGCTGAACAGGATCACAAGCCAGTGCGAATAGAGAATCAGAATGGGGTAATGAGGTGAAGAAAGCTTGAGGGGTCCTTGGCGAAGCTTACTAAAATCAAAATGTTGGGATATAATTATTAAGCCACAAAAGCCTTATCCTTAGGCCCCTGACTCCCAAGGACAAGGATCCAGCTCGGTTATTCTGAGGTGCCTGTCTGTTGGAGTCGGTTCCCAGAACGGGAGGCCCGTTTGGAACTCTTAGTTCCCATGTTCCTTCTAGCCTGCCCCGCCCTGGTAAGTGCCACTGACAGTGGTAGACAGCAAGGGCTGACTACAGAAATGGTACTATTTCAGGGGTTGCTGAGATTTGAGGATGCGGCTGTGTTTTTTACCCAGGAGGAGTGGGATTATCTGGATCCAGCTCAGAGAAGCTTGTATAAAGATGTCATGATGGAGAATTATGGAAACCTGGTCTCACTGGGTAAGAATCTGCTGTTCCTCTGATTAAAATATCTGAGAGGCTGTCAGACAACAGACTCTGAGAACACTTGGACCGGTACCAGTACCAGAACTGCTTTGTTCCAAACTTCTGATTCAAACCTACCAGCCATTCATTGTTTACGTGACTCTGACCCCTTGAATCCTTGCAGTGACCAAAATACAAAGCCTTTCTGGCTTCCTGTCTTCGTAATATCTTTCCCATATTGCTCTGTACTTTCCCTCCTGGCTCATCCTCCCACTGCTTTCCTCCCACCCCTCGTCACTGCCTTCTGGAGCCGCTGTTCCTCTTCACATAATGTTCCTTACCCCTGCTGGCCTTAACTGAAACCTGGCACTGTCCCAAGGACACTACTTCTTTTGGGAGGGACTGCTTATTCTCCCACATCCTCTTCCTTTCCCATCCTCTGTCTCAAGGCTGGAAGGGAAAAATTGCTCTTCTCCCAGCTTTTCCATGTTCTTCCCAAAGCATTCGTTTTCCAGCTTCAAGCACAATATCTCCCCTTTGAGGTCTCAGCAGTCTTGCTCTACCCGCTCAATTCCTTTCGCTGCCATTTGTCAGCTTTTTTTGGATCCTCACACTTAGACTTGGTCACATGTTTCATAGTTCTCTATGCTAACCTATATCATTGATGATACAGTCATTCCTTAAGCCTCAGAGTACCTCGATGACATTGTCTTCAGGGACTCTGCTTTCCCTTTTTATTCAGCAACTCACATCAAGGATCATATCCTTAATTTTATCGAAACTGGAGCTTACTATAACTTCTTTTCCGTTCTTCCTCTCCTACTCCTTTCCTAATAAACCTGTTCATTCTTAATGATGTTTCCTGTTCCTTGACTTCTCTGTTTTTTTTTCTCTCATTTAAAAAAAATATATATTTTATTATTTTTCACAGATAGGAAGGAAGGGGGATAGAGAGCTAGAAACGTTGATGAGAGAGAAACATCGACCAGCTGCCTCCTGAGCACCCCCTACTGGGGATGTGCCCACAACCAATGTACATGCCCTTGACCAGAATCGAACCTGGGACCCTTCAGTCCACAGACCGACGCTCTATCCACTGAGCCAAACTGGTTTCAGCTCTCTCATTTAATTTGTGAATCTGTATTTGAAGTTATTACCAGCATGCTCTTGTCTACCTTGTCATTATGCTCTACCCATTCTGCATGCTTGAAATCCTGTATTCATTATAAAATCCGCCTTTTCTCTCCTCCCTGAGTTACTAAACACAGCAGGAGAAATTCTTTAACTGAAAGGATTGATGCCTTGTATATATGCATGGTTTTTCTTCTAGTCTCCACTGGGTTTTTACATCTCAACAAGTTTTTATTCTTGATTTCGTCATTCCCCTGTTTCTTTAGTGATTATTTCAAAAACAAGAGTTTTCCTTCAGTCCATCATGAGTAGCAGACCTTACCTTCTGTTTCACCAAGAAGAGAGAGGCCACTAAACATGAACTCAACTTTTTAGCCCCTCATCTGCTCACTGAAGGCTGCCCCTATCTTCCTGCTTCGCCAACTACTTAGACATCAGTTATCCTTTGCTTTTCCCCTCGTTAGTTTCTGACTCTATTCCTTCTCTTCTGATGTCTTTATTTTGATAATAGGTATGTTCATGGCTTTTTCAATTGGGGAAAGAAGAAGGAAAATAAAAAATAAAATAAAAAACTATCCTTTGAGCCACAATCTGCCTCTTGTTGCTCCCTATAACCTGCTACTTATTCTCTTCACAACCAAGTTTTTCTATGTGTAGTTAATGTGTTCTATACTTTTTTCTCTAAGCTTTTTTTTTTTTTTAATCTCTACTACTCCCCTTTAATTGTTTAACATTGATCTATAGCCCAATTGTCAAATGCAAAAGACTCTCTTTGGACCTTATTTTTAAGTTCCACCTCTCTATAGCTATTTGAAATTCATTATTGTTTCCTTCAGTTGCCTTGCACTCTCAGACTTCCTCTCAGTCTATATACTTTCCTTGGTGGACCTTATTTATACTCGTTTCATCGACTACCATCATGTGATGGTAAGTCTCATATCTCTCTCTACCTAAGAGAGATAATATGGAGCCTAACTGTCTAAATAAAATCCTGGTTCCACCACTTACTAGTCTTATAACCATGGGTCAACTACTTAACTTATCTGTGCCTCAGTTTCTTTTTTTTTATAAAATGGGAATGATAACAGCACTTACTTCTTAGGGTTATTGTGAGCATTACCTGAGTTAATATATGTAAAGCACTTAGGACACTGACTAGCATGTAGTAAGTACAATATACATGTTGATTGCTATCATCACTACTATTGTCATCTTCTTTGTTGAGCTCTGAATTCCTAGTAATCTCTTTTTGAAGACCACACAAGATACCTGAAAAATCTCAAATAATTCATTAAAATCTCAAGGGCCTCTTCTTCAGAACTGAGCACTCCTTCCTCTGCTACCTTGTATACGGTACACATACATTGTTTAATTTATCACACTTTGCTGTAGTTATTCTTTGTTATTTTTTTTTAATTAGGTTGATCTCCATGAGGTCAGTACATCATTTCATGGTTATGTTGCCATCTCCCATTTATTTATATAGAAAAAAAAAGTTCTGTCATTTCAACATATGTGCTTTATGTTTTTTATTATTTATTTACCACAAGTAAAGGTCAGGAATTGTTATCTTTCTTTAAAAAAAAATTTTTTTAAGTATATTTTATTGACTTTTTACAGAGAGGAAGGGAGAGGGAAAAAGTTAGAAACATCGATGAGAGAGAAACATCAATCAGCTGCCTCCTGCGCACCCCCTACTGGGGATGTGCCTGCAACCAAGATAATGCTCTTGACTGGAACTGAACCTGAGATCTTTCAGTCCACAAGCAGAAGCTCCATCCACTGAGCCAAACCAGTTAGAGCTCTTTTAAAATTTTTTTACTGTTTCACTTTATTATTGCTGTGCTCCATGTGAGTGACATAGGTGCTTTGTATTAGGTCTAGTAATACTTAATGTCGTTTTCTAATACTTTTTTAAATCAAATTTATTTAAACAATACAACAAAATTTAATCAACAATATAGTTGCTGTTGTTTTCTACTTGTGCCCAACGCTCAGGAAGCATTTTAATCCCTCTGTTGTAAAATTCTTGTGATTTTGATGCAAAAAATTCGGTCAATGCATTTTTGAGGCATTCTTCATTATTAAATTTTTTTCCAAGAAGAAAGTTTTGCAAAGAACGAAACAAATGGTAATTGGAAGGGGCAATATCAGGAGAATATGCAGGTTGAGGGAGAACTTCCCATTCCAACTGGCGCAGTTTTTCAGCAGTGATTCTTGCAGTATGCGGTCGTGCGTTATCGTGGTGAAGAATTACGCCCTTCCGATTAATCAGCGCGGGTTCTTTTTCTCTTAAAGCTTGGGCTAACCTTTCCAATTGGGAACTATACACTGCACTTGTAATGGTTTGGTTAGATGGTAAAAGTTCATAATGAAGAATTCCTTTCAAATTCCACCAAACACACAACATCACTTTTTTGCATGCAAGTCAGGTTTTGGCGTGGGCTGCGGAGCCTCATTTTTGTCCAACCATTGAGGCCGCCTTTTCAAATTAACATACAGCACCCATTTTTCATCTCCGGTAACAATTTGCTCTAAAAACCGCAAACGGTTTTGACGAGAGAGGAGCGAACTG